CCCGCGCCCACCGTGCCGGGCCGGGCGCTCTGCAGCTCCGCAGCCCCGAGATCCGCACCCGCGCCCCGTCCCCGCGCCTGCTCTCCGGAGACTGCGCTGCTGCCCCCGCCGTCCCCCCTTGACTATCGTGCGATTTTGTGAGCCGCCTGAGCGGAGTTGGTAACTCGTTGGTTTTTCTCCAACCATCATGGCCTTATCTGTTCCCGTTTTCTCAGTGTTCCCAACCCGTGAGATAGATGTTTATGGCAAAAAGAAAAAAAAAAAGAAAAAAAAAATGACCTATTGTATAAAAATCACTATTTTGTGTGCTCCGCGTGCTACAGCTTTTGGGGCGGCCCTGCCCACTCCCCGAAGTCCCCGGGGCCTCCCCGTGTGGCGGTGAGTGTCCACGCGTGTGGTAGTTTTAGTGTGCTGAGCTGTTTTCTACCTTTTTGTAGTCTTTCTTAAAACAATAAATTCCGCTGTGATAACTCTGGACTGCTGACCTTCCGGCCCTGGTGGGGGCCTCCCCGCCTCAGTAAGGGGACCCCAGCGAGGTTCAGAAATAAAACATTTATTACATGAAGAGGAACACGGTGGCCTTGAGGTTTCCCAGCTCAGGTGAGGGAGGCTGGGGAGCAGACAGGATCAGGGTCCGTTCGGCCCCCCAAGGGCAATGTCCCACCCACGAGCCAGGGCCCGGGCCCAGCAGCACAGCGCCCAGTGGGCCAGGGTGCTTGAGGCTGGAGGGGCAGGGGGCTCCCTCCCTCCCTCGGCCTTTCCCAACTTAAATAGGCATTAAATAAAAAGCGTCTAGACTCTCAGGCCACCTGGGGCTGCCCCGCCCAGCCCCCTTCCCGCAGCCTGACACTGACATAGTGCCGGTCGGTCGTGGTCGTGTGGTCTCGTGGTCGTGTGGTCGGTCGGTGGGCGGCCGGCTGGGAAGAGGCCAGCCCGGGCAGGCGGCAGGCTCCCAGGCCGCGGAGGTAGTTGGAGACAGTGTCCGGGCAGCCGGGCCCTACAGCACGATCCAGGTGTATCGCTCGCTGTCAGCCAGAACCTTTAGGGAGCACCCTGTGGGAAGAGGGGGCACTGCCTGTCAGCCCACCCCGTTGCCCCCCACGCTGACCTGACTGGCTCAGAACGTGGTGGAAGGCAGCGACCCTGCAGGAATCCACCTCTGCCTCCAGCCTGCAGCCCCAGTAAAACGCTGAGTGACTAAAGGCCTGACCCTGGGCTCCCGGCTCCCCGCCTGCAGACCCAGCCTGGGCGGGCCTGAGGTCCG